TTTTGTAAATTTATTATGTTAATAAGTTAAAGAATATTGAAGAATAGTAAGTTGTAAAATATTTTAAGTTGTATGAGTTTGTTAAAAGTTTGAATTAAGAGAATATTTGTACAGAATTTGTGTATTTTGAATAGTAAAGGAATATTATTTCATATGAAGGATGAAGATAAGTAGTAGTTTTGGGTGTTGAATTAAATTTCTGTTTTGTCAATACCTTGTTTAGCTAGAAAATCAGCAATATTATAGAAGGAATTTTTTGAATATGATTTTGTTTTGTGAGTAGTAAGTTGAATATTTTTTTTTTGAATTAGATAGTTTAGAATATGAATAATATCCTAGTTATTGATTTTGGTTTAAGTGAAGTAGTTGTATGGAATACTATTTTTGAGTATTTGGATTAGAGCTGTTAATAAAGTGATCTAGAGTGGTGTAGAGTATACTTTGCTAGTATAGCCTCTAAAACTATACTACTCTATAGTAAACTACTACAAAGCAAATTTTATAGTTTTACTTTAGAGTATTAATCTGAAATAATAAATCAAAGTATAATCTGAAGTATAATCCAAAGCATTACACTTCAGATAATTACTTATAGTATCAGTATTCAGTAATATGATTGTTTAATCTATATACAATAATCATACTGCAGTTACTAACAATTGACTTTTTATGTATAGCATATGAGATTAAGCAATATTTATTATCACTATTACTAGACTAAACTAATTAACTTTTAAATTCTCTAATAAATCAGATACACTGTAAATTTTGATTAATAAAATAAACTTGTATAATACAAAGTAGATATATTTTAATTTTAAAAATTTTTAATTTTCACTTATTCAGAAAATTATAGTTACTTGTACTAACTAAAACTAAAACCTTTTTTAAATATGACATAGTCATTATATATTACCTAGTTAATATTTTTTAACTAATTAATTTTATTTTGTACTTCTAGTTTTTACAAAAATATAAGCGATCATAATTCTATATATTTGCTAGCTTATATATATATACTATATATGATATACCTTATACGAAATTTTATATTTAATATACCTAATAGAATCTATATTCAAAAAAATCAACCTAAAAACTAATTTGAATTTCTTAGTTTTCAAAAAAAAAAGAATTAAATACATAATTAATTCTTTAAAAAAAAAAAAAAAAAAAAAAAAAAAAACCAAATATCACAATATACGATATAAGGTTAAAATTCATTATTATCAAGTTGTACTTGCGTTATCTAACTTTTTAAATATAATGCAGCACATACTAAATCTGGTGCAAGACTATTTCTAATCTTTGTAACAGTGTGAGTGATAAGAGAAAATACCAGCTCACTTGAATTACTAGTTCTTTGCATAGATAGATAGTTTTTGGCCATCTTACTAAGTATAAATAATCTTTTTTAA